ACACACACACAGACACACACACACACACAGACACACAGACACACACAGACACACACACACAGACACACACAGACACACAGACACACACACACACACAGACACACACTGACACACACACACAGACAGGAGGCTGTTCAGCATTCCTGTTGGCATTGGTCTATGAAGATAATGAAAGGCACCTGCAGCACTACTTGAACCGGAAACTCCATAAGCCTTTAAGCTGGCCCTCCTCCTCCTCTGCATCAAGCTATACCAGGGGTCATGTGAGATCGTCCCTTGGCAGGAAAGTTAGCCCCGCAAGAAGCAAGGCTCATCGGGTCTCGTAAACGCGATTGCATGCTGAACGCAGAAATACGCCAGTACAATCCAAGTAGTTCCAAACGCCTTGACGCCTGAGAAGGCGCCAGACAACAAGCAACCAAGCACCTGATAAAACTCACTAGTGTTTCTGCGGGCAGCATGGTGACCTGGATTCATGCAGCTAGGCCGAAATGAGTCTGAGGTTCTTGCTTTCAGCGTCCAGATTGCAAAGTCAAGATTGCAAAGTCAAGATTGCAACAAGTGTGGAACAAATTGTGTCATTTTGCATTGCTGTGTCTGACGTGCGGCCTCTCGTTCCGCTGTGTGGCAAACACAGCTCATGTCCTTTATACAGTGCTCGCTTGCTTGGTTGGATTTGTTGGTGGGCAAACTGACCGAATGGCTCAGGCAAACACCACTGTTCGCTCAGCCTTTGCAGCTACTACCTTGCGGTTTGGATTTAGTGAATACAGTGTGTCTTGAGAAAGTCTGGCCCAATTCTAAACTCCTACAACCTCAACATGCACACTTGCAAGCGTCTGGAGGGCAAGTGATCCTCAGTGCATTCCCCGATGCTGCCTTCATCACGATAGTTGAGCCCTCCTTGATGGTGCGGACAAGCATTCTTGAAATGAGCCTTGGTGTGCTCAAGTCAGGGTCAACAATACCATCTGCATGACCCCACCATTCCTCAATTCTCTCTGCCCTCGGAGACCCGCTCAAATGTGGCTCTGTTCACCTGGTTGGTCTGCAAGGCCTTCGAGCTAGCAACGAATTGAAGAGATACTTGCACAGATTTGTCAGAAGCTCTCCCTTTTGCACAGACCCAGGGAAATATGCAGAAACTCCCGATTTGAAGGGGAGCAAAGTCAGCCAGGGGTGACTTTCCGAATCAGGATGTTTCTTCGAAACCCAACTGGTGCCGGTTCATCAGGCCCAAAACCAACCCCCAACACCCCTTGTCTGGTTTATATAAAATTGACCCCGGAGTAGTGCACCTGCACGATCAATCATGCTTGTGGTGTTTCACGCCAAAAGTGAAGCCACTCGACCCGGGGGTTGACTTGGGACTCCCGGGTTCCCATTGCCAAAGGGGCCCCAACGACCAGGCGAAGCTTTCGAGCACCTCCTCCGGCGCCACGTCTCTCACACAGTCGATGAAGGAATTCACGAAAGGCCCGAAGAACTCCTGCGAAATACGATGAACTACGCCCCAGAAATGGGATCCAACTGGAACCAGTCTGCATGCAATAGGTCAGGCTCCTGCAAAGTTCCGGCTTGTGAGCTCTACCGAAACTGCCAAGTAACCCCCTGTCTCTGCAAAACTCCACAGCATCACACGTCTTCAATGAGCTTATGCGTGTTGATTGCGTGGCACGGCCCCGAGCCCCGCCGTGGGGATGGCATAGCCCACGTGCCGCAGGCCCAGCGCAGAAATGTCGTCCGTCATGGAGAAGGGGTCGTTGTACAAGCTCACGCCTTGGCTTTGAGAGCGGACAAACCCAGTCTGGAGAATACATAATCTACATACACGCGTACAAATAAATTACTATCATGTATATCATATCGTCAGTCTCCTCTCTTCAAGAGGCGAGTCCAAAGGGAAACATCGAGTACAGTACAACAGTTTTGATACCCCCCCCGCACCCGAAACCTATACTGAAAACCTTTGTGACTGTCGTTGGGGTAGGCAGGCACCCACTGAATTTGTGTTTTTTACTGCAGTTCGCCAGGAGGTAATTTCGCTCTCCTGCCTGGCTCCATGCTTTCCAGTGACAAACTACATGCGCTTGAGCTCTACACAGGCGTGGGTTCAGGTAAATGTTACATAAATGCAGTACGATGTGCCCAGCACAGTTACCTTTTGACAAGTCGATTGAACATACGGAGTAAGCATGAAAAAGCCTCTGGTCTGTTCAACAGTGCCTGTAGGCTACTTTGAGTGCAGCACTCAGTGGGCTCTTGCAGCAAGAATTGCGATTCTGGACGCAACCCACGAACGCATTCCGATTCTCTTTCTTGAAGAAAGCCGACGTTTCCGCTGTGGTCCAAAGGAAGTGGTCCTTCTTGGGTGTTCAAAATTGTCGGGCCATGTTGTGTTAGATCAACTGCATGACAGTGGGTAGGCGTCAATCAATGTGTTTTTTCGTGGACAATCAGTCGTGTCAGCAACATGCAGCCGGCATAAGCACTGACAGTACACAACACTTGAAGGACCCTCCCACTCAAGAAGGCCATAATCAAGAGTCACAAGTTGCTTACTGATCGGAATCGAGAATCCCAACTGCACGAGCCAAGGTGCTCATATCCAGCACTTTCCGCGCAATCAAGTGAAGTCTCGACGCGGATTGCTTGAAGTGGTCCTGCCCTGAGCATTGCGCAAAGTGTTTGGAGCCAGGGACAGGCTGGAAACTCCGTGTCTGTTGCCAGGTCAGTTTGCTACCTTTCTGTAGAAGCCAAGGCGTGAAACGCTCCAGGAACCTGCCTCCATGTTGCGAGAGAGGCAGCGCAAGAAGCTGCCCGCACAAAGCAGGTTGGCTTAGGGCTGCTCAAGCTGATCTGCACACATGGGCAAGCGCAAGATGGATGCATTTAATCATTGTGGATTATTATCCTGGAAGCCATGATCGCAAATCGCTACCCACAGTCAAGCCAGAGCAACGTGGAGGACACTTCAAACATTTCAGTCCCTGGCGGGCTTGCACTTTGATCTGCCCCCTAGCCCAACATCGGTCACAACAAATGTTTTAACCCTGCAGCCATGCGGTTGGAATGCCGTCCAACAACAGACTTCAGCCAGGGGAACATGCGACCTTCCCGCAGACAAGGGATCCACGCTTCCTATTAAAACAGATACGCTTGCCTTTTGGGAAGGTTCAGGACACTTCACAGGCCCCAACGTTGGGCAAAGGTTCACAAATACATGAAAACCCGCAGCAAGCATAAGCACCTCTGAAAAAATCAACAATGCCAAGGCGTGACGCAAGAAACAAGCCTGGCACCCACACCAGCTGAGGATCTGACCCAGGTAATTAGGAGTGTTGTTCTTTGTCAGCCCCAACGCGAATCACGCCCCCCTTGTGAAATTTAGCCCAAAAGGAACGCTAAAGTTGGGCGAAGACGGGGCGTTTCGCGGGGCATCTACCACGCAAGGGCTACGAAACCTAAGTGGTTGGAATGCTGCCCCGCTTGACAAGCGTGACGAAAAGCACTGTGCCAGGCTTGAATGCGAAACACCTCAGCCGGTTCTCCGCGCAGGTCCTTCGCTTTTTGACGCGCGCGCCCCGCGCGCGAAGCAAGAGCCCCTCAAACAAAAGAGCCAAGATCCCAACAGCCACGGCAAGCCCGTGAAGGAACACCGCGCGGCATGGCCTCCCTTGCAGCGTCACTCAATCACAGCATGCGCGGGCCTGCTTAGACACTAACTATGAGGTTCAGCCACACCAGCCAATACTCCAGAATGGGGCCCCGGGTGGCGCAGAATGCTTTTGAAGCAAGGCTAACTTTACGGGAGACATTGCTGGACATGGCGAGGTATAAGCTTACGGTCGCATGCGCTCGCTGCAGTTGAGTGGCAGCTCATGGCCAAAAAACACTGACAATCTCTCATCGTGCGATTCAACGAGCGTGCTGCCAATTAGCCAATTTGGAATACAACCTGGCGTCTCGAATGTGCTCCAGCAAACGGCAACATCCGACGTCACAACAAATTGTTTGCCTAGCGTGCGCTCATCAATAAGCGTCTATCAAGAAGCTTGTTTCTGACTGCAAGGCTCAAAAAGAACGTGCTGAGCCAGGCGGTGATGAGCCCTAAACTTTAACCAACCTTGAATGAGGTAGGCGCGCAGCTGCTTTGGCAGCGACTTTGCTGTAGAGAAGGCTAAGCGAGCGTTGGCGCTCCAAAACATCCCGAAGCTTACCCTAAAGCCGAGAGAACCCTAAAGCTGCTGCACCAGCTGCTAGTGCAATGTAGCTCCAAGCCAGCAATGTCTTTTTCCAGGGTCTGCAACGCCCGCCCCCAAAACAGTGGAACCAGTCACCGCTGTCCTTTTTAGTGAAAATTCTCGCAGTCTGGGTGGGACTTGGACTTGCTACTACTTACTTTAGCACTGCCAAGACAAAAGCTTTGCCAAAGCGAACTCTCAGATTCCCAGTAATTACTTGCATGAATATTGCCAAGGCTAAATTTAGCAGTGTAACTCTCAGGTTCCCAGTGCTTACTATAGTATTGCCACAACTTACTCTCAGATTTTGAGCGCTGATTTTAGTATTGCCAAGCCTAAATTTAGTATTATATTGCCAAGACTTACTCTCAGATTCTCAGTGATTCCTCTTGTGCTGCCAAGACTTTACTCTCAGACGCCCAGCACTTGGGAAATTGAGTATTGCCAAGACTTACTCTAGATTCCAAGTACTTAATTTGTTCTCTCTCTTTCCCTCTCTCTCCAGCGCTAGCCCGCCAGTCCCAGACCTTGAAACATGCAAAGGCCATCGTCTGCAAACCAAATACCACACAGGCCAGTATTGCCAAGCCAAAAAGCAGGCACCTCCACCCCTTAGTATATTCACACTGTTCGGGGAAAAACAGCAGCACTATGCAGTCATGTTTTGGACGAGGACCTTCCTGGCAGCTGCCATATTGCTCAATGTGGCTTGCAAGGACAAGCAAATCCCCAAATTTGTGGGATTGCGTCACGATTTTACCCACACCTGCCTGCTGGTACTGCCACAAAGAAGTTACCTAGCATCCGACGGGCGACGTGCAAGCACAGCGGGCTCACTAACACTGCTATGCTCCGGAAGTGCCGTTCTTCAAGTGGAACCCACCGTCAAACATGTGCCTACATGTCTGTATATGTCTGGAGATGACTGCAGGACAACGCTACCACAAGAAGGCGTGACAAATAGCAAGAGGCCAGAATACACGAGCAATTGCAGCCTCCTGCCGAAACAGGAATCCACTCTGTTGCTCTCCAACTCGGAAATTGGATACTTGGCCTGGTGAGTTTCAATGGTCGCTCCGGCCTCACCTTGGGTGCTCGCAAAACACGCAAGCAAAACAGGGCCTCCCAGAAAGAATGGCTTTCTAGCTTGTAGCTGTAACGTGCTGGAACTGTTTGTATCGCCCTTGCTTGGGACAAGCCTGGTCACAAAAGGCGGGAATTCCGATGCAGTTTGTCTTCGGTACAGCTTAGTTATGCATCTTGACTCACGTCGAAAGGCCGATGTTTGCCAAGTCGCTGTAAACGGAAAGCGAGAGCACATCCCGGGTCTCATTGTCCAAGGAATCCAGCCATCGTCCCAGCAACTTTTCCTGGGGCCGGCACCGGCCCAAATGTCATGGAGCTTGCTCTGTCTGGCAGGCTGAAAAAGCAAACAGCAGGCACCCACCGTCATTGCCAATCCCGAAATCTCATATTTCCACAAAATGTTGTAGGACAAAGTAGCGGGGAATGATTAGGGGAATCCTCCAATACCCCTCTTTTTCTCACATCCCTGCTCATTGGCTTCTCGAACACAGCTTCACATCCCCTCTGGTCAAGGGGAATGTCGGTCCCTACAAGGTGTTGCCACACCAAATGCAAGCAATGGGCTCTTGGCATACCTTCGCACAAATAAGTGCCAAATGCGAGTAGTTATTCCACATAGCAGGGAATCCCACAAAAAACGTTGTGGCTCTCCTCAGAGATCAGAGTCCCGAATCTGTCTGGCCCCATGCGTGAGTTCGTTTTGATGCCTCGGCCCGGCCCCAATTTCGGAATCCCACAAAGGCGAGGTGCAAAAGAGCCTGACTTGCCCATCTGCTCCTGGAGAAGGCGCTCCACGTTCTCCCAAAGCCAACCTTGTCGGCATGTCCCCAAGTTGAACATGGTGAAAGGGGGACAAGTACGAAATAGGAGGGATAAACGCAAACCTGAAGGAAGAGCGACAAGAACTGAGGTGAACCTGGCCGACATGGTTCGGTTGACAGAACCCTTGACATCCCATTCAGCAGCTAGAAGCCAGCGCCAATGCCATTGCAACTGGATTTGCCCTTCAAAAGTAAGCCAAACACCCGCCAACTTGAGCAGTAGAAGACATGAAAGGTAGGAAAGCACGACAACTCACGAATACTCACGATATAATGCGAACAGCAAACAGGAGCCAACAGGGTCAAATGCGGCAAGCTATCGATGTGTTTCTTCTTATTTTCTGACAACGCAAGTATGACAGTTGCAATTGGAATTGAAGCTGGCTGAGATCGGGGAAGAAACTTGAAGATGTCAAGGTTCATCAAGCGAGAACAAAGTAAAACACTAACATGTTCAAACTTTGAAAGACACGAAATTCCGAGGGAATATTTACCATATCGATGATTTGGAAGCCAGAAACATAACTAAACAAAAACCGCTACGAGACTGCGAACTGAAATGCGGCGTGAAAGCCAAAGTAAAACAGTAGCCAGTGCTCCCCTTGTATTGGGCCAAAGTGGTTCAGGCTTGAGATGAAACTTGAACATGTTCAGGTTCATCCAGCGACAACAAAGCAAATGTAAATGTTCAAGTTTTGAAAGTCATGACATGTAGAGGCAAAAACTATCATCTCGAGAATTTGGAAACCACCACACATCGCTCACGAGACCCTAAAACGCACATGTGGTGTGAAACCCACAAACAAATCATTCAACCAACATGTTGGTAGGAAGTATGAAAGGTGCAGGTTGGTAGGAATTAAGAAACAAATTAGACATGGAGTTGAAGCATTATAAGGGAGTAAAGCGGTTGGGTTGGGGCTGACGCTTGGGAAGGTCTCACAGAGTGAGTGTCGGTGCTTTACCCGAGGTAAGGAGAGGACCGTAGGTCAAGCATAGCCGACTATGAAGCAAACGCGCGCTGAGTGTCCCGCAACAACTTCGGAAGAAGGCAGGGGATCCGGGAAACAAATGGGGAGAAGAGCATGGGGAAAAAAAGCAGACGCAAAGAGAAGCGCGAGAGACAAGCGCCAAACGAGCTGCAAGGTCGAGCCTACAGAGGTGGGCAGGGCGGTGAGAAGAATCAAAGGTTTGTATCCCCCGTCCCCTCATCAGGAAGCCTTGCTAACGCAAGGAAGAACTCAAGGTAGCCAGCTAAGGGCTTGCACCTGCGGAATAAAATATCTGATAGTGGGATGGCTCCCCAACAACACAAGGTTGGTGTATGCATGCTTGATCACACCGAGGTTCGGTTAACATAACATGCGCCGAGCCACACCAGGAGACCTCGTGAACAGAGGACCACTCCTGAAATATCGGCTGAGAGAGCTACAAACGTCAACATCCACGACCCAGTTGCATATCCTGCCCCCTTCTTGCGCACAAGCTAAAACATCTGCATGAGCAAGTGGTTACAAATCAAAGCATCAAACTTCTTAACACATTCTGCTTGTCGCACCATCCCGCTGACAAACTGGTGCTGTGTCGCATGCTCAACAAGCCAAGGGAAAATCCATTGTGAGATTTGCAAGATACCAAAAAACAAAAACAAAAACGAGAGGCTCTCAGGCCGCCACATGTTCATAGTTTCTGCTTCACACGGCAGGATGCCCTGGTCAAAGATTGCCTTTTTGCCCGGCCGGATATGGCTTCCGGAGCTTGGCACAGGTGGCCAGGTTGGCTCAGCTTTCTTTAGCGCGAGCTTCCTCCAATTGCTTTACTTGCTGGTGTAGGGAACGTGGGAATGATCTCGTCCCCTTAAAGGACACCCTGCAAGGGCTAACTTATATGGGTTTTTCCCATTCACATCCCTGCCCGACCTGAAAAAAGAAGTCTAAAAGCATTCTGGGAGGCTCGTCTTTTTTTGGGAACCCCCAAAATGGTTGTTTTCCCTTTGGCTTCCCTTTAAACCAACCAACAAAGAGCTCCCAAAGAAGAGGAGCCACCCATATAAACATGAGAGCTGCATCCATGGACGCTGCCCCGTCCTTGGGGCACAGCGAGCGAAGGGATGAAAGCATGACCTCGGCAAGACAAGTTGGTCGCACCGCTCCACTGCGAACATGTACTCACTTCCTGAATGGATTGGCCAAAACATCCGAACGTCTAATTTTCCACGCGAATGGTCTTCCCGAAAAGGATTAAAGTCTAGGAACTGAGGAACTGAGTGTACCTCAAGTGGATAATTGAATTGGGGGCGCATCCTTTTCCAATGTCTTGGCTCAGGGTATGGATAACAAACACATGTTTGAACCATACCCTCCCAAAAGGCCAAGCAAAAAGCAACCTAATCAGGAAGCCTTGGAAGGTCGAGTTACACCCAAGAAAGGTCACCGCCGAAATACAGACCGACAAGCTAGGCACTGATTGTCCAAGGAACATGGCTTCACAAGAGCTCTCACATGGAAGCTCCCATTTGTTTGGACGACTTGCTTCTCTGGGAGCTTCCGGCTGTTCTGAGGGAGTGTTCACGACATTCCAGCTTGCGCTCGGCATGTTGCAAGCAAATGGTTGCCTGCCAAATGAAGGTCACCTGGGTGTCTCAAGGCTACTCCTTGGGACATAGTTCTCGCCCAATCTGTGGTTGGGTGGAATTCCGTGAGTGCACTCCGGCATGGTTGGGTTTCAGCCCTTGTGTCAGCATGCCGTCCTGGAATCAAAGCAAACAAAGAATAAGCAAGTTTGTCACGGCTAAGAAAAACACAGTGCAAGTGGCAGCCTGCACAAGGTTCGCAATGACTCCTAGATCTGTTCGAGGAGCTGCTTTGAAATCGCCCAGGGCTACCTCGCCAGGCACCTTGGCAATCCTCAGGGTGAGGATGTCGCACTCCTCCTGAATGGCACTCGCAGGAAATCGGCAACCATCCTATCCACGACGTGACGTGGCAATCTCCTGTCATAAGTTGCAGTGCGCCGCACAGTTTAAACTCTTGCCCAGAACATGGGTGACCAAGCCTCAGGAATAATCAACATGCAGGCAATGACTCGCACACTGATGCTGGATTGTTGTGCCAGCAGCTTTTATTTGTTTTTCCCTTTGCTCCCTTGCTGCTACAAATGCATGCGTGGGGAAATCACCGGATGAATGGTAGGAGCAAACATGCCATCAACAAAACTCCAAAAGCCGAGCAATTTCACAGCGCCGCTCAACGCTCCTGCAAGCGATATGTATTTCCAGCATTGGCCACGATCGCATCGAAGGAGTCTAAGACTTCGTACATCCAGTCCTGTGGTGTGGGCATTCACACAAATGGTGGTTAAGGAGGGGTTTCCCATTTACCCTCTACAACACACATCACAAGCACATATCCGAGCGTCTGCCAGCAGGTCCATGACGGCTGCGTTGAAGCAAAACATGTCCTTGTCAGCATGAGCCCTACCAACAACCATCCAACCCAATGAGCAAGGTGGAAAGCAAACAAGAAACCAGCCAATGCGATTGGGTATTTGCAGTTGGGATATCATCTCTGCTTGCGAGCCCAGCCCTGACATAGTTCTCAGCTTGGAACAGGTAGCAGTGGCACGTACGAATCGCCAGGAGCCATGTGGCTGAGGTTCGAAGTGATGGTTAGCGTTGTTGCGCAACATGCTCAAACATTACACACTTTGCTCACCCACATTAATGCCCCTGTCGCCAAAAGACCTACACTGCCGATTGATACACAGCCCTGGTGCTCCAAGTGGCGTAAAACGTCTTGGGGACATTCTGTTCTTGTCTCCGGTGTCGCTTCTTCAGCCTCTTCAAGTGCTCCTCCTGCCCTTCCTCCTGGTGCAGGTTGAAGGGCGAATATACAACTGCACAATTGGCAATGCTACATCGGAATCTACCTTTTGTGCCATTGGGGAATGATATTGTGATGCGTGCTACACGGAGTCAAAAGGAATGCCTTCCATCAGGTTGATATTCCCTGAAGCGCCTAGGTAGGTGCCGCCGGTTTCAACTACCTGATGGGTGCGAAGCGTTTATGTGTCCGAATTCTCCTTGAGGGATACTAGAGGTACTTGCCTGGGGTGGTGAGGTTGGGCAGCCACAACCTGCAGAATCTGGCTACTAGGCGAATCCGTCACAGCTCGCGTCTAACTGTTAGGCTCCCGCCGAAGCTCAGGAGCTGTTCCTGCCTAACATCTGTCCAACAGTTGGGGCCTGTTAGGGACGAAGGATCCACTAAAATCATTAAATGGATCCTGCGTTAGCCTCGGCTTGACGGTGTCACCGGCTCCTCTTCATCCATGTCTGCCTCCGCCATCATCTTCTCCTTCTCCTTCTCCTTTCGGGCTTCCTTGGAGCTGCAGCCAAGTTAGTGCGGCAATGAGAACAGATTCATAACCTCCTGCTTGTTGTATACGAGCATTGTAGAAAGGGGTCAGCATCTTTGGGTCAAACTTGACCATCAGTCAGGCTCAGACCGCTTCAATTTTGCCAGCGACAAAGTGCGGGAGTCTACTAATAAGATCCAGCGGTTGGAGTTAACCACGACTATTACTATCTTGTAATCAATATATATATATATATATAAGTTGCTCGAATATGTTCACACGTTGGCCAAGTTCCCCCACCTTCTGGGTTCACATCTCAGGTAGTTGCGGAGATCTTAGGCAACTGACGCAATTTTGGAGGGTGTGCTGTCCTTACAAGCAACTTACAGGGAACTTACGTTGAACTTGTGGATGCCTTGAATTTTGCGATCTTGAAGTCTGTGCCCGCATCACGGTCCATACGCACTGTGTGTCGCTCATTGCAGATGTGTGAGAAAATATGCTTGTTTTGGTGTGTTGGGCAATTTTTGTGTCTCTGCACGCTGCAATGGCTCAGAGGCTTTCTGACCGCGGTCGTCTGTCGTTTAGCGACCCTCGCCAGGACGGAGATCGCGCGTGGATGTGCGCGGAAAAGGTTTCTTGAGCTTACGTGTCACAAGCGACATTCAGCAGGCCAAAGTCTGGACAACATTTGGACAACATTTGGCCGACATTTGGCCGACGGTGGACTATACTGCAATATGTAGGCCAACGTCCGCGACACCTTTCCGTGCGCATCCACAAGCGACCTCGGGCGACATTTGGCCGACATAGCAGTCCGGCTCTTATATTTGTTTTGTCCGCCCCGGCATCAAGGGGCATTTTGGCTGTTGGATGGCACTTAAGCCGTAGTACTGGAGCCGTGGACCACACCCAGCTGGTGGCGAATCGAAAACCTTGAGAGCATTTGCCCGCACTGAGAAACAAGAGCGCGCGGCTGCAACTATACACATATTAAACGAAACTTACGATTTATGGCTTCGCGGTCTAAGGTAAGCGGATGGCCCTCTCTTTTTCGCAACCTGCTCCTACCTTTGACGCCCATGAGGATGTAGTTGTCAGCGAAAAACAGGGGGAGCGCGGGGAACTTTTGAAGTAGTCCAAAAGTCCCCTAAGTCCACTTACGAGTCACGCGCAGCAACCTATGAGTTTCACACATGCTGGCACATGAGAAGAAAAAAAGTTCAAGCACACCCGCCACACTGCCCACATGCTGGCACATGATAAGCACACCTGTTCAGGTGCACACCCGCCACACTGCCACATTCTGGCACATGATAAGCAAAAGCCTGTAAACTTCTGCGGATCTGTCAACGAGTTTTTCCTCCGCGAGGGTATTTCAGTCCGCGTTCACCTCGCTGAATGTTTTGTTGGGTACGACAAACTTGTTCCACACTGCTTGTGCACGAAACGCTGGTTTCAAACAGCCGTGTTGTCTTGTCGAATCACGCGCGCCTGAGGGAGGCTGCGCACAAGGAAGCATACCTGGATGTTGTTTCCTGTTGGTGGTGGTGGTGGTGGTGGTGGTGGTGGTGGTGGTTGTTGTTGTTGTTGTTGTTGTTGTTGTTGTTGTTGTTGTTGTTGTTGTTGTTGTTGCTGTTGCTGTTGTTGTTGTTGTTGTCGTCGTTGTCGTTGTCGTTGTCGCTGTTGCTGTTGCTGCTTGTTGCTTGTTGCTTATTGTTTGTTGTACTTGTTGCTGGTCTTATCTCAGCTCTGGTCCTGTTGTGGTCCGCCCTCTGATTCATATTTCAAGCTTGTTGCCATTTGCCACATTGCCTGACCATCGAATTCAAGCAACACTAACCGCCGGGGTGACAAGTACCGCAAGCATACTGATGCTTTCACACCTGTCACACGCCGTGGCAGAAATCCATCAAAGTTGGACTTGGCTTTCACATGCTCACCACAAAACAAGGCCCTGCTTCGCTGTCAAGTTGCGCGCTCCTTCTTCTCTTTCCCGCGGTCACGGTTGGCCTCTTGCCAGCTGGAAGACCTTGCAGGAATATGGGGCCGAGAGCCTCGGACGAAAGCCTGAACAAATCCTCAAAGACCACCCCAAGTAGAAATCGATGCCAAACAAATCGCCTCAGACAGCTTGCCTTCAGTATCAACACGCCGCCAAGAAGAGGAACCAAGCCACTGCGGAAAGTGGCTCGAAGAATGCAGGCTCTCCAACACAAGGTTCTCGTGAATCACTGGCCGGAAAGAAGGAAACTTGGAACAAAAGCTTGGTCAGGGTTGAGGTTACTTATCGGGGAGCCCACTGAGGTCACTGTAAATTGCCCGAACGTACACTTGAAATCTTGCTCCTTGCTCCTTGCAAGGACCATTTACGCGAGCAACCAACTCAGGTTGCCATGCAGAATTATAAACTTGTTAAACAGCAACGACATCGATGGCGGGCACAAGGTAGAATCTGCAGCTTGCTGGCACCGCGTGTCAGCAGCTCGCCCCTTTTCCCCATACATGCGCCGCCGGGATCTGACATGCTTGACATGGGAATACAAATAGTTGTAAGCAACTGTCATTGAAAGCCACGGCTGCCTCCCTGCCAAACCCGCGTGCTTGCGAGCGGCAAGACCTTCAACCGCATCGAGTATGTGGACTTGATGTAGATCATAGCGCCACCTGCGAGCCGGCGGGGCACACGTCCAACTTTCCGGGAGCCATCGGGCGCGAGCAACGCGAGCTGATGCGAGCTGGCGTGCTTCTTTTCATGTACGATTGTCTGTCTGGCCGTTCCCGTTGTGGGCTAAAAATGCCACACCCCAACTCACATCAACAACTGAATCAACTGCCAAAAGGCCCAATCCATAATTCACTACCTGTTGCGTCTCCTCTACGGTGAGTTGTCGCAAAGGCGCGGGCACTGCATCACGGTGAGCGGACTGGCTGCGAGTAACTAAATGTGGGAGCACTGCTGCTGGAATACGTCAGTTCTAGCGAAAAAAACAGATATGAAAACATGGCTGCACCTCAGCGCTTGCGGATTGCAGGACAATCATATGTGCATCCTCAAGCGTGAGCCTGCCGCCCCGTGGGGTCAGTATACAGCTTCCTTTCGCGCGAGCAGCTGCAGCCGTTCCGATTTTTGACTCATAGGCCCTTGTGAACAATGGACATAGGCGCCGCCAAACTTTCTGCGGCACTTCATGGAAGAGTGGGTCAAATCCGTTTTCGGCCATCGGTTTTGGTGATGGGTCCCGTGTTGGCAACATACCTTGCCCCGCGTCCTACGACGGGAGATGGTTGTAAAAATGCTGATTCACAATTTATTTGGTCAAAACAAACTCCATGTTATAGCACATACTTATATGGCGTCGTGTAATGCATGATCTTTACCCTCAAGCAGCAACACCTATTTCAGGCAGGGAAAGTGAGATCACATTACTAAGCCTTTTGAGCCTAGCCAATGTGCCTGCACAATTGTGAATCCCTCCAAGGTATTGACAGGGGAGCCCTTAAGCAGCGGGCAAATTTGGCAGCCCCTAAGCACTAATCACACCGTCGCTGCGCTCTGCTCGACTTGAATCCTTGCAGGCTGCCGCAACACTCGGCCCAAAATATGCCCGGATGTATCAACACCTGAAGGTAGTCGTGTGAATCCTACGTTTCTGGCATCCTGCGACGGGCCGAGCCTATATAGTTGAGGACCTGCATGAAGCCTCAGCTCAAGGTCACGTGGAAATGCCCAACGCGCAAGTTGATAGTTTCTTTGCCGAGCCCCAGCCAAGGCCTGATGCTTTGGCAAGGAGACTTCCCCGAAACTGAAAGAACAAACGTCCGCAAAGGGCCACAAGCACACGGCAAACTTTGAGCACGAAGAACTCAGTGTGTGTTGAAAAGCGTGCCACCTCCCCCCACAAAACAAAAAAAAGCTGTTAAAGGGAAGGACTCCAGAACAGCTACGGGGTGGCGGGCCTGACCAGGGGACAATTTAACCTGCAGAATATTCAACACAACTCGCACATCTTGAAAACGGACCTAAGGCAAACACTCTGCGGCACAAACATTGGGTCGATTGCTGTGTTGGAAACTGGCCCCATGCAATCAATTGCTTTCCAACCCAAGCCAGCAACACTTGCCATGTGGCAGGTTGCCCAGCATCAAAAACTACCGGAAGCAGCAAGCATGCGTCGGTCCCCGGCCAAGGCGTCTCCAGCCCCGAAAGGAGATCCAATCATAGCGGGCAGAGGCGACAAATCCAAACCAGCAATTTGCGGCACAAAGGCCATCAACGGACGCACATCTCAGAACAACAGCTTTTGCGTCAAAGCGATCAGCCAGCTCCAGCCTAAGGCACCTCAACCAGAAGTTGAGGCCACACCAAAGTTGGAAGAGCAGAAAATCATGTTTGCATAGCCGCTGATACACCAATGCGGAGAATTGGAGTCTAAAAGAGTGTAATTGGTTAGAGTTGAATAAGCACCCCCCCCCCCAGCCCCCCTCCCCCCCGCGGCTGCTTCGGCCTGCCCACCCTGCGTGTCCGATTCCTACCTTGCCTGCCTTATCAAACGATTGGTAGTCAGTGGTATCCCCTTAGACCCCTCGATTGTCGTTGAGGTATCCGGCCCCACCTTTGGGACACAACGTCTGCCTGGTCGGCAGCCTCTTGCCAAGTAGCCGTCACGTGCAAGGGTCGTGAGATTTCCTGTCAGCTCGTGAGAGATCAGCTCAAGGATGGCATCCCGGACCAGTCTCAGCATGTAAGACAGCCAAGGCTGGGCGAGGCGAGGGAATTTGTTCAGTCCTTCAGTCCCTGCCGTTTCAATAATGACACACCTTGGGCGAAGCTGTTGCTGGTCAGCTCTAAAAGGAAGCAGCAGTTTTTTGCAAAGGACGCTCAGGCTTGCAGAAGCGCCCCCTGTGCACGATGTATGAGGCGCACAAACATGGGACAACGTAAACAACTCACCACGCACACTGGAAAGCAGCAATCATGTTGATATGCAAAAGGAATAAAGCAGCATCCAATCCACTGAACAAGTGCCTTGATGCAAATGGTCAGCTGCAGCACAACAGCACACGTCATCAGTTCCAAGCTGGGCATTCTTCAAAGAAGGCATGATGTGCCACAAACACCTCCGATCTCCTCAAATGAAATGGCTATTAAGTGGGAGTTTCCCCCAGGCAAAAAAACAACAAGCCCATTGGGACCCCCCACGCATTGGGGCAGGATTTCCTGTTCCCCACGCCACCTTTTAAGCACCACGTGCCACAAGTACCAGCATTACCAGCCAAAGAAATGACAATCACCATAAGAGCCATGAGCGTTGCAAAGGACAAGACTCCAAGACAGGCAGCCGTCCTTTCTTTTCCTCTGATTCGCATTCCTCCCATTCGCCCCGTCCTTTCCCGGCCCCAAAAGCGGGCGTTGTCTTTTTTTGTTTTTTTTCTTCTCCGATTCAAGGGGCCCCACGCGGATCTCAGTCACCTCAAGCTCCAAGTGCTTAAAGCTCAAAATGTCCACCAAGACCTTGACATCCTCCGGCTCCTCCAGAGCCATGATGACCCTCAGCGACCAGCGGATAAATCAGTGAGATCCAGTGAGCCACTGTGACCACTGCATCGAATTAAAGAACATATTCCTATACCATGAACGTGGCCCTAAAACCAAAGTTTTCACAACCATGCCAACCGCCCTTGTTCCACCTATGTTTTGATGCTGTTGACACGAGCTGCAGGAAACCCAATGCTGCACTGGGGTACGAGCATGCCAACCATGTTGCTTGCAGAATTCGCGCCGCGAAGTGAAATACTAAAAACACCTAACATGCAACTACGGCTCGCGAAATGCTTATGCATTGCCCTTTGAGATGCACACTTCTTGCTACGTTGAACGGGGCACAAGGTAGAAACATGCCGGGTGCCGCTGAACAAATCGCGTTTCCAGTTCGCCAGGTAGCTGGTGAATGCCCTCTTGCAGCCGCATGGCCACCACACCCCTGGCGACAAAATGCCGGAGGATCCCAGCCACATGTCACGTGTCGTGGTTCCTCTACTTAGGGGTAACACAAAGCATTTGTGTGGAAGAGGCGGGGTACACAACACGAAATGCTCGGAGTTTCTCTGAGAGAAGGGCAAGACTCCCTCCCTGCAAGGCAAAGCCGAGCATAGTGCTTCCTATGTAGCTGGTGTGCGTTCACTAGAGTTTTTCACATGCATATCAATGCTTGGGGGGGCACGCACTGAAGAGGGCTGCGCTACCTTGCGCAAGGAGCAAGTGAAGGTCGAACGTTTCAAACGTTTCCGTGGGGTTACCTGATTTGAGATCTGGGCTGCCGAGGTTGGAGGCAAAGAAATGGAGAGCCGTGGGTTGGGCCGCATCAGGATGGTCCAGGTTATTCTAGCTCAAGGCACCTACTGTACCGGGTTGACTTAGCATGGGTCGCCTTTTGCACATCTTCTGAATCACATCACAAACGGCTGTTTTGTTCAATGACGCTTCACTGCCCCAAGCTTTAGCAACCGCTAGCCTGGGCATCTGGAAAAGCGTGGACAGCGTCGGCGCTGAGTCCAAAATGGCATCGAAGATTGCCTGGCCATCCCGGCTGGAAACATAGCCTTGCTCAAACAACGAACAAAACAAAGAAAGAAAAAGGCCTACTCTGTGTCACAGCCGCAAGATACAGCCTGCACAAAGTTTCGACTGCTAGTAAGGAACCTCTGGCACGCCATGGCACGCCTTGGGTTGGGCGCGGCAGCTTGTGTCTGCTTTCGTACATGCCACGACTTCATACAGCCTAAGCAAGCAACTGAGACGATCTGCCCAGTTGAATCACGCATGGTTCCACAATTCACCTGTGCCTGGCTTGCCAAATTTGGGTCTGCGCCGATCAGAGCTTTCTTTAGGATCACCAAATGCAAGTCAGAAGGTTAAGGGACGCGTTGGGCTGAGGTGGAGGCAAAGGCTCTAAAGTGGCCTTCAAAAATGTGATGCGCACCCTGGGTACATGGTCGGCAACCTCACCAGCTACATTCTACTGTATACAAGGTCTCGAAGGCAAAATCCTCTAAGCATCAACTATTTCAAGATTGCTTGCCACATGAACCTTCTTGATACATATTGACCCTGTCCTGCAGCTGTTATTTTATAAAGTTCTAGGAGCCTGCCACAACCAACAGCAAGCAACATGTTTTGATTCGGTGGCTGCTCATCTGGTTGCAGTCCGGACGCAATCTCTCTCATCAACCTTGAAACCCACGCAGCAAGCTCTCGCGCAACGTGGCAACTGAATTGGGTGACACTCGCACCGTGCATAAAACTCGATGCGTGGTCGCAAGAAATCCCTTGAGCCGGCCTCGCCGCAAGCATCCACGGTTTCGAAGCCTGGCGAGCACCGCGGAGCGAAAGAGCCGACTCAGCTCGGGGTGCAAAAGAGCTGGTACCGGTGTCAGAATGTAAGGACTCAGCGTGTGCAAAAATGTTCCAGTTTTGTGAATATAACATGCAAAAACCAACATGTTTCACCATACGTTTTCTTGAGACAAAAACGGACAGGGACGGCACACACACACACACACTGTTCTGCGAACCTGAAATAGCCCAGATTCCGCGGAGTTCACTCTTGGTGGTCGTAGTGTAAGGGTATGCCCCACGTTTTTGTCTGGATTCCGGATTTACCACCGGCGAAATCCGGTGAATTGTCAGAGAAGTTGAACCGAACTGAAGTATTCAAAGCTCACAACCCTTGTGCCACTCATCCTCTCCAAGGACTAGGTGGCCCAAATTTAACAAAACTCTGGTTTGTCATTTTGGAGCTTCGCTTTTCAAGGGAAGCTGGCATAAAGCTCACGAGTTAGAGGGACACGACATCAACTAAGTCCTACCATTGGCCGCAGGAAATCGTTGTGAAGATTTCTTTTCCGTGCATGCTGCCTGGCCCTCTCTCGGTGAGGTAGCGATTTTTGCGGGTCCGATCCGCAGCCTGTCACCCGACCCAAAGAACCTCCAGTGCGATCCAAAGAAACTTCAGCCGAAAGCACAATCCGCAAATCATTGCTTTTCAAACCGAGCCTGTGGCTTCCCGGCCCCTTCGACAACAGCTGCAAATTCAACTAGCCCCTACCCTGATCAGTCAACCGAATATCCTGCCTACAAGTTTTCACCTGCAACAAATTCCCCCCTTGCTGACGCGCGTCCAAAGCGCGACCGACGCCCTAAACTCCAGAGGGGTTGCCCCAGCCTTGCTGGAAGCTACTCCAGGCCTCCTGCACATCGGCCACCTTGAAGGCGTTGCTACTCTTCAAGGCTCTTCTTCAAAAGGGAACCGGGGTGGGGTAGCACCAAACAAGCCAGGCCCCTCGGTCAACTCAGAATGACAACAAAAAATGCGGCTGCAACACTTAAGCCACTTATATAAGCAATGTTAATGTTGGAGGCTGTGTGCGCAGCTTTCTGCAGGAACCTGCAGTTATTGTACTAGGGGCTTCCACTTACAACTAAGTATGGAACATGCTTCCTAAGTGCGAATCCGAGCGGTGTGGATTGTTGGCCAAATTTGTTCTTGTGTGCAAGGCACGCCTGCTTCAGCTTGCAAAGCCTAGCCCTGCATGCCTCGGCTTGCAACGCAGTACCATCATCACACACACATATGTATATCATACAATATATTTCTCTCTCTCTCTCTATATATATATACACATACGTACATGCAACTAAAGTCAAGGTGAACACACAGGCGGCTGTTGGAGTTGTAGGCCGCTTCTGTCATCTTTATCACCCAAGGCGATGCACTATGCTTCGGGTAGGTGAGGCTTCTGCGTGGATGCTGATTAGATCGCAATGGCACCCTTTTCCAGCAAGAATCCTGTGTGGCAAGCAACTACACCGTATCCGAGCCATTGCCTCCTTCAGATCAGTCACCCTACCGCAATTCTAAACGCTTCAGGAACGTGTTAAGCTGCTGTCACGGAAGGGAGGGTAACCTCGTCGGATTCAAGGGTCTTCCAAAAACTGATTAAGGAACTTCATCATTAACCCGTGGCGGGCGTGGCAAAACAAAAAAAGACAATGATTCAATTCAACAGGGCAAGGAGAAGCCATCCCACTGTCCGTACTGCTAACCGCATCTGCTTTCATTGCCAACCGCTAAACTTGGGTGCCATGCTTCCCATTTTGTTGCCCCTGGGTGGCTGGCTCCAAAACGCTTTCTGGAACTCCGCGGAACTTTCCCTCCCTCCCACTACAGTAACGTGGCACCTGAGAGGGCGTCCCTTGAGGAAATTGATCTTCCAGGCACCGCACATGCTATGTGGCTGTGGCTCAACAGTATGGTGCCAAAGCGGCACCTAAATCAAACCAAACACAAAAACCTGCGTAACCCAAGCTCGTTAGTTTTGAGCCATGCCCAAGGTGCTACGTTAGTGGGAAGGGTACCCAAAATGGGTTGCCCTGGTAAATGGAAACGTGGGCGAAAATCTTCGGTCTCCTGTGTTTTAGTGGGAGGAATCGGAGGAAGGGCAAAGAAACGCCACGAACTGTGGGCCTGCTGCGGCATGAGGTCCAAAAGCCCGAAGGACCTGGGAGTGGCTCGTGGCGAGTGCGCCCGCCCGCCCGCGAAGCAGCCCGCAACATTTGCACCATGCCCTGGGCCTGTGGGAAGCACCCCCTGCTATTGTACAAGTGTATATCCTGGCAGTTGGATTCTGACTTCTGGTTCGCGACCTAATTCGGATGCATGAGTGAGGGACAAAAGCCGCTCGTCTGGGAAGACAACATCCGCACTTTGCGTCGCCTATCGGTTCGCAGTGATTTGCAGAACGCTCCGCCCGCATAAGGATGCTTGTGCCAAGAAATAGGAATTGTCACGCAAGGATGCTTCTGTTGAAGACATGCGCTTGCCCCTCTCTGGCCCTAAGGGTTCCAAAGGACTGGATTTGAACAAACACTGGCATCAAGTACTGTCTATTGGGATATGGTGTGGGTCAACCGGGCACGGAAGCTTTCGCAAGCAATCGGGCAAGCCTCAGGCCTCGCAGCCCAAACCTTCAAGCTGAAACAAATTAACCAACCGACCAATCCACCAACCCGTAAACCAGCCAACCATCAACCAGCCCGCCCACCTGCTCACCCGCCCATTCAAAGAAGGCATGAACATGGATATGACAAGTGCTGACATGCATACAATCTATGCCCGATCCAGTGTCTCAAGTACAATGGAACGACAGTTCGATTTGCATTGCAGTGACTTGTCCGATTCACATTAGTAGCGAGGGATGTTGGTTGTGCAGGATTGCCTGATACATGTGCCATGGTTGAGTTGCGCCTAAGCTTGTTGCGCCCAAGCAGCTCAACGTTCAGCCCGTCATGTGCTTCCGCAAACTCATCTGGAATAACATCGTCGTCCTGAGCCAAGGGCCATCGGAAGTCAACTCGCAAGGCAGGCAACTCGGATTGCCACAACAATCTCCCGTTTCTGTCTGAAGGAAGTCAGCTATGTGGAAACTTGGATTTGATGGAAGGCAATGCCACACCATGTCCCCTAGGGTAAGACTTAGCGGCGTATGAATAATGCACTCTCGCATTGGCATGCTTCCTTAGCCTGAGCTAGCATTTCTCGGTTCAGCTAGAATCGCCTTCATCTGCGGAAGCCAGGTGGCAAAATCCTGACACTGGAGGTTTGCCTCAGTTTTGTCCTCCCGAAGTGTGCAGCTGCAGCTTTATGGGATTGGACTCGGCGAGTGCAACTCCACCAGAACTAATTGGGGGATATTGGGATAGAAACAAGTCTCGGATCGCATGCGCTTCCCTCATTGAACCAAATGTGTAGAAGTCAGCGGAGCTCTATGCAAAGAGTCCCACGGACTAAACTGGAACCGGGCTTTCCTTGAAAACAAATTCGTTTCAAGAAAACACACATCTCATTATGGAGTTTGTAGCTCCGGCGAACTCTTTGCAAGGACACACAACACGCAGCTTCTTCTTCTAGCCACATCCCACCTCGAAGCTGCCATGGCAGCTGCCCCGCATTACTGACCTTGTGGCGACCTGCACGTGGGACCAGTGGTACGCAGCCCAATGCGAGCAAAAACTAAAAACAAAAAACGCGGGGCAGCGGAAACGCGGCAGTCCCTAGCCTCGTCCCTCGGCTCCATCCGAGTGGCCGGCGGTGGTTTTGCGCTCGCTGCCGCCGCCGCAGCTTGGAGGCTCGCCCTCAGCAGCCCAAGGCGAGGGTCGCTGCAGTCCTGGGAAAGGCTGCACAAGGCCTCGGCGCCATCGGAGCATGCGGGAATGTTACATGGCTGTGGGGCAATACCAATGGTACCATTCTGGGGTAGGTGCACCACCCGTTTTGTTACTCTGTTTTAGTGGGGATTGGGATGTTGACTGGGGGTATGGGATTTTGACCCATGGCCACATGGCAATGTGCCAATGGCGCGGCTCAAGCGTGCGTTGCGGAGCTCGTGGGAAAGTGAGGTGCTTGGCAGTGCCAAGACTCAAGCTGAGCCCAAGTGGGGCCCGCTCCTGCTGGACATGGTTTTCCGACGCCATTTTGGCTTCCCATGGGGTTCCCGGTTCTTCCGCCTGACACGTGGACCAGGCGCCGGCATCAAGGGGTCATTCAGCTCCGTAAAGTCCTCCATGCCCTCCAGCAACACCTTCGCCAGTGCAGCGGAGGCCTGCGCAAACGGAAAAACGGGGAAAGAAAAAAAAGAGCGCCGTCTTGGGGGCGGTGAAAAGAAGACCATCTGCAGGAATCACACCAAGAGTATGAACTTGGATGAAGGGAGCCAATGTGCTTAGCAACAACAGGCTTGGTATGAGGACAGCAGACATTTTGACCCTCTGACTCATACACCTCCCCGAAAGGAACACGTAGCATTCAATAGAGCCTGGCCTAGTGCTGAGAGACGTGCGCCACTCAACCTGCTTGGTGTACGTGTGATGCGTCTGGATCGAATGTCAGTTCCAAACACGTCACACAGCACGAGCGAACATGAAAGCAAAAGGC